CAAAATTGTGTAAACATTTGTCACTTTACCCACAATTTTTCTCTAAATCGTGCCAGTTAATCTGTCCAATATAATGTTGGGCTGCTTTATCCCTCCCATCTGCTTTAGCCTTCAGTACAACCCCTTACTGGCTGTTCATGTCTCCTTTCACAATTCCATTCATATCTGTCGGTCGTGGCCAAGTTACAAGGGACCTTCTTATGTTTAAGTTACACTTTTCTTCGCAGTACAGAATTAATAGTTTCCAACGTCAAAGATATTCAAATTCGTATCACCGAATGTCCTAATATTTAAAAGACCTTGTGTTGTCCGTATAAAGAAATTGTTAACTGGTAAAAACTCGCAGACATGAAAAAGAATAGTCTAAACAAAAGCACTGTACAATATGAGAAATTAATTAAAATAGAAAGCTGCACTCAAATCCGTAGTTATTAATGAGCGTTATATGTATCACGTATGGAACTCACGAGATATTCATACAGAATTTTGCTTAAAATGCCTTTGTCAATTTAAGCTCTTATGAACACTCTAATATAATTTTTGATTCCATAAAAGTATGGAATTTATCGGTCAGCTAAGTAACAATCAACTTTTAAGAGCGAAGATTCCGTGCTGTGGAGTTGGTCTGGCCGTCGAAACACAAGGAACGAGAATTATTCGATTGTTTTCAGAGATATTAAAACTTTTATTTATTGTTCTTCGAATTGTGAGATATTTTACATAACTTCCTCGGTCTTGACTTCTGAAATGAAATCTCATTAACACAAAGAGATACGGCTCTTAGGAAAACTGTATAGAAACGCCACAAATTTCAGCTATGAAAACCAAAGAAACAAAAGTCATCTTGAGTAACAGAGGTCTGTAGGTTGCCCATAAATTGTCTGCTTTCCAAAGTTTGTGCAGAGTCAGGGTATACAAAAGAAGTGGACGGGCAAGGGGACATTTCTAAAGATCAAGAAGGAGACGTCTATTCAGAGATCTGCTTACGCAATTCGTTGTCCAAATTGCTCGACTACATTGTTTAGGTATATTTTACGCCAGACTTCCCGGAGAGAATGGTGCCATAGTTTGACTGTCGTGCCAACAACAGAAGAACACACAAAATAATTTGAATTTTGCCCATCGCAGTGTGGCGTTCTTAGTAAAGAAAGGGAGGAGAAAGATTATAATTGGAATACGAAAAAACAAAACGCAATAAAACAGAAACAAAAATAAAATAAAGTTTTAAAAATGAAATTCTTCATTTATCATGTTTCCATGAAAATAACTGCTACAGATTCGTAATTGTAATGTAGTCATAAAAATGATTCGTTTCGTGTTGTGTGTACAAAAGATAGTACCTGCAACGCTACCAGTTAATACGAAAGTTTATACCATGTTTTAAACTTCATATCAAACACAGCTTCCTTCATGAAAGTTTTTAAAACCATGATTTTCGTAAGTTTATAAGTTCTGTGAACTCGTTATATTTGATACCATTTTTTTTTCATTATGATTTAATACTGGTATCATATTTTCTACCTCCGTCATGAATCAAATAAATTTACCAACTTCAGCATATAGCATTACAACTTCCCAACTTATTTATTTGAATTAACTTACATACTTCTGTTTTACTGCATGTACGAACAAGCTGTCGTAAAGACACGAAAAAAAAGCCTTATAGCGAAGGAAATCAGATATCTTGCTCAATTCGTCAGCTGTGTTCTGGACGTGAAGATGACTGGTAAATTCATATTAAAACAAACCAAAAAATAAACAGAATTTCATTACGCCATAACAAGAGCCCGCGTGTTAGTCATTCTTGGTGCGAGACTCCTAACAGCAGCGTTATAAACTGTAATGTAACTAACTACGTCAAGCCGACCTTCTGAAGAACTTGACGCTCAGTCAAGACGTTTCGCTACTTTTATGGGACCCGGAGGTCCTTTATCGTGTTCACAAGAGCCCTTCAAAATGCCCCACTCTTTACAAAATAAATCCAGTCCGCATCTTCCCATCTTATTTCTCAAGGGCTCATTTTATATTAACCTCTCGTTTACATTTAGATCTACCAAGTTCTATCTTCCTTTCTGGTTTGCCGACCAAACCTGCGTATTCAGTTCTTATAGCTTGCATGCTTGCTAGATGAACCGCCCACCTCACTCTCTTCGATTTGACCATCCCATTTTCCTCCTCACCACCGCCAAGTTTTCAAGCACTCCCAATCTTTGTATGTGCCTTCATGTGAGGGGCCAAGATTCACACCAATACAAAAAGGACGAGTCTTGTACGTGAACTGAAGTATGTAAGTCACAACTGCACTACTGGCACACTTTAACAACAGCATGAAGTCACTGGTTAAATGTTAAAATAGTTTACACGTTGTCCGACGGACAAGAGTTCGATAAATTTGTACGGACGTTTTGAGAGTTCGGAGTTGTTAATTTTAAAACCAGTGAAACAATAAAAGTTCTTTGTTGAGTCTAAGTACACTGGCAAGTCACAACATTGCAGAAATTGGATCAACGAGCAATCAGCAAAGTATGTGGCAGCCCTCAAGTGTTTGAAAACAAACCACTAACAACAGAAAGCTTTATAATCAAATTAGGGTAATTAAATTTCGAATGTTAGCCACTATGTGTTTATTTTGCGCCCTAAAATACTGTGATGATTGAACATATTAGTTCAACTGCGGGAAGCTTTGTTTTTTCGCGCAGTGGGAAATATCTAATCCACCCGGTTAGCTTAATAAATTTATTCCTGTTTTTACTCAGTCTATGCAGGAAAACTGCACTATTATTAAAATATAAAATTGCCTCTGTTCCTGAGGACCTTGCCATGAATCGCATAAGGTACGTTGAGGTGAAACTCGACGCATTATAAATGGTGAATAATGAACTTCGTTCTGCGACCGATATAACATTTGGGAAAGGCTCCTGGTACCCCGAGAACAAGACACTGGGTGGACCCAAGAGACGATCTGAACGTGATGACAGGGAACAGAATCTCAGCCGCTGTAAGTAGCAGAACTCCTGTCTTCTAGCCCCTAGCCATTGTACCTCAGCGAGCGTCTTGCAGAAACACTGCCTTACAAATGTGACTTATCACCTACAATGTAATCCTTCAAAACTGATTATGGTAAACGCAATCTCAATCTCTCTCTCTCTCTCTCTTAGCCTCTGCAGAAGTAAACAGAAGTCAAATTTTATGCCAGGTCTCGAATATACAAACTAAATTAATTGACATGGAATAAAGTAACAAATTATTTACACACATTAATCTAGGCTATTTAACATGATAAATAAATGTGGCATAAATTAATATAAAATAGCTTTCAAATCCAATGGAACGTTAAGTTTTAATTGAAACGTTGCTTTTAATCGTTTCTTCGTGATCAAGTTTGTATTTACCTTTACAATTTACAGTTTGAAAAGTTGAGGAAATAAGCAGCGCCCAGTTCATCAATCATCATTATCACCATCATCACCCCCCCCCCTTCGACGGTAATCACCTGAGTAATTAAAAAAACGGTGCGGGGTTAAGTTAACTAAGATACAAACTGACCAGATCTCACAAAACATCAAGGCCAGCTTCAGCCTCAACACCGAATCTAATCTCGTTTATTGGGATTCTACGTTATAGGGCGGTATTATCCCCATTAAATACTGAATATTACCGTAGATTGCAAGCAATGCATTGACTGCTTTATACGGAGGTTTTGTACAGTGAAATGTTTGCTGATATTCCCCGCCCTTAGAATTTCAAACTGAACTCTGGTTGTAATGAATTCCATTCAAGTTAATCCTACAGTCACTAGTACGAAATAAAACTTTATATTTTATATTGAACTTAAAATTATTAATGGGATTATAAAAACCCAGAATGGCAGTAGGTTAATGTAGACATTTTAAAATGATTATAACAGAGAAATAATAAAGTTCGATTGTGAAGAGGAGAATATCTTGAATTTCGATACTTAAGAGTATCGAAATTCCTAAGATATAAAGAAATGTTACAGACGAACGGATGGTGGGCAGTTAGCGAAGAACCGAATAGCATCGAACAGTGGACAGGAAGTGGAAAAAGGAAAGACGGTGGGAAGGAGGAAAGTAACAATAAAATGGATGTAACCACAAATAGATTAACAAACAACACAGACCTGCTAGTCTAATTTTATGTATCCATGACTACTGTAATGCATCTTTGTTATTCGTCCACAAAATCTTCTTCTTCTCACGAACGTAGAAGAATAAGCCAGTACAGCAGAAAACCTGGGCTATAAGTGTAAAACATCCAGTGACTTTGAGGTGTGGGAGGATCACCTATTATACACCGTCCTGTCAGACAAAACTGGGTAAATTAAAGGTGACAGCCCATTACGAAGGTAACCACCAGAACAATGGACATGGGTTGTTGTAATTTAATGCCACAGTAGTCGTTATTCCATGTACAAGGGATATAAATCTCAATATTTCCAAATAGCCACCATTACCGCAGTTTCCCATTTTAGTGAAATGCACGTAAGTTTAAAAAACGAAATTTATTAAAGTCTTGTTAATTGCGAATATTCTTTAACACAGATGGGTTATCATAGCTTTCATCGATCCAAAATAAATATGCAAATAATTAGAACACCACTACCCAACTGACAGTTCGCGGGTCACATCTAGCCCGGGAATACTCGTTGAGGGGCCAGCGAAAATATTTGTTATTTGCCACAAGTTACCACAAGCTCATTTATTTTCTTTACTCCGAACGATTAAAAAAAATTTGTGCTTCTTATCTCTTCTGCTACTTTACGCAGAAGTGCCACACAAACTAACGACTTTAAAACCATGCCCTAAAATGTGGTTGCCCAGGCAAAAAAAACTACTAAAATTTGATATTAGTTCTCATAAAGAGTGACGGAGGGATGGATTTCATGATCCTTGGGTCCAACGGGAAATTCATTCTTGGCACAAGGGGATAGAACATTTAGACAACGCCGAATACAAACAAACATTTCCTACAGTACTTACCGATAGTTGTTAACACCGTCAGAGAATACAAGAACGCCTTGGCAAAGTTCCATTCGTAAGACGTCGACGACGAACGTCTTTCCTGCATCTGCTGGTCCCTTCCGACACCAGGCGACACCGCTCCGTGATGTTGCATCGTCAATTCCTCGGCCAGCCTCTGCACGAGTTGATCCTGAAATTTTGATATCTCCTGGGCAGCCAAGCGAGTCCAGTTATCCCGATAAAGGATATTTAATGACACTGTTATGTCCCAGATATTTTCAACCGTCCTCGCACGGGACTCGTCAGCCACACGCCTCAACCACGACGACGTAGGCACAGCTGTGTCCTGTGAAGAGTTCTGGCCCTGAGGTCTTTTCTGATTATCGATGTTTGAAGTCACTGCTATTAATGATGTGGAGGGTCTGTGATAATGGGCGCTAGAACTACCACTTCCACCGCCTTCTATGGCAAGAAACACAAAAGATCCCAACAAAGTATATCCTACTAACAGAGCACATATTCCTAAATTGCTGAACACACCCTGGGCACAACCACCGTTTTTCCTCCCAAAACACAGACAACGGCCGCTGTGTTCGGAATTCTCATCCAACTGTTGATTTCTCTTGAGAGACGCAGTCTTGTTCTTATTCTTCTGTTCATGTGTTTGTTGATGGTATGATTCATAACGACATTGTCTTCCCACTGACTTCTCCATAGCACAGATGATAGAACTTGATTTTGTTTCAAAATGTTATGTACAGTTCGGACAATAATACCAGCTCACTGATTATAAAATAAAAAATATATAGATAATTTTTCCACAAAGAGCTAAATGATAGACGAATGTGTTGTTGCATGTTACCTATGGTCCGTAAATAAAGAAATATATATAAATATAAACAATTCGCGTTGCTTTATGCAACAAATTTGTATATGAAGAGTAAAACAGTAATATTTGGTATCTAATGTAAAATCCGTATTCATTTGTTCATTAAACCTTTTCGAAGAGAGCGTGTTTAAGTGTTCTCGAAAATAGATTCACCTTCTACTTGTCACAACACGGGTTGAAGCATATGGAAACGCTTAGTATCAACACTTTTTATCAACTTTGTCTAAGACACTGTAAATAATATTGAAAATAGTAAGACCAGTTCAACCAAAGTCTTCTGCTTCTGCCATTTTATGATGTTCAGAGAATCTGTAAGGTCACGCATTCAGTCTTCAGTTTAATTCTTCATTGTTTATTCTCTTTTCTTATCCAAATGAGAGAAGTCTTGAGCAAACTGAATAACAAACTTGGGCTACCGGTAGATTCAGAGTTACCTGAAACAAAGTGAAACAGAAGTTTGATTAAATCAGACACGTGATTTAGAAACTGCGTCTGAATCTCTCAAGGCAGAGTAATAATTACACACAACTGAACTGTATCTAAGAATCCTCACGAACGTCTCATTATTGCCAGTGTCTTTGTAGCGCGTTGCATAAGTAGACCTCTCGCAGGGCTGTATCATCTCCCCTAAGGGACGTGCTTATTATGGCCCATAGACGTGCTGACGAAATAAAAATATCGGCACGTATTCGGATAAAAAGTTTATTTAATATTTTGTCTCGTACTTTGTAAATCGTCCATACCATGAAAGCCCTGAACCTCATATAAAATGCAGGGATCGGGATTAATTACTATTATCATTGTGATAATTTTGCTAGGCTAACTGATTATTGATTTACTTAATAACGTCCTTCAAACTGCATAGATAAAACAGCATTATATGATAATGGATGTTCTCAATAATGAAATGTGAGTTATGAAATTTAATAGAGAAGAAGCAGGTACGACCCGCCCTGAGAAAATAACGATTACAAACACATCGAGCGAGGACATCCATCTTCAACGTCGAGAATCGAACCAGGGACGTCCACAATACAAACTAGGAGTGCAAAC